TATAAGAAATATGACGGGAAGGGAAAGAGGACTAATTTTGGCCTCCGGGACGCACACTCATCAGACGAAACGCGGAATTGCTTCCACTTCACGCCTGTCTTCTGTGTGGTCGTGGTATTTCACCGGGTGAGCCGGGCCGATTCGTGTGAAGATGTTAAAGCGGGCTCTACCTCTGTTAAATAGCAATAGCAATTTGAATAAATAATCTTTTGCTTTTATAAAGTATTTATCATAAAACATTATCTACGATAGTAATAAATTAAAAATAAAATTTGTACGTATTCAATGGGAAGCAACGTATACAAAAATAAATGTAGAGCACGTTCTATGTATTCATTGTGGATCAAAAATTTACTAACACTTCAGATATCTATGGATTTCGACTCTAAAAGAACTTGTTTAAAATAGTTTCATCTCTTTCATTATCTTTGAAAAACAAAGACAACAATATGTCTACAATATTGATTTAAAAATGACAATATTTTGGCAAATTTTTGGTCTATAATAATTCCCTTAGTTGTTCCAAATCACGCTGCATGGTTGTCACTTACTGAACTAAATCTTTAATCTTTGACCAACTATGTTTTTAATACGATTAAACTCTTTCCCCTAATTTTATCCTGTGCGGCCACACTAGACAATTTTTAAAATGTACTGAAATTTTATTGTTATGTAAAGTCTCAACTAGAAGATTATTTTTACATTAAAAGTTACTATTTAAATACATAATATAGATGAGACTTTGCTTAAAATTACAAACTTATGTAAATTTAAATTAACATGATATTTATAGATATTACGTCATGTCATCTCATTATATTAATTTGTTGCAATTTTAATGAATTGTAAATCGTCTATATTAGTTCAAATTCATTTATTAATTTTATATAAACAAAATAGTGTAAAGATTATGTACACATAGATATAGATTATAGTGGTTAATATATTTATTAGAATAAATTTAAATATAATATATAGAGTTAGTAATAATAATATTTGATTTTTACGGTGCAGTTCGACTACGTAAGTCTTTAAAAATATAATTGTTACTCATAGGATGAATCAATCATCAAGAACGCCGTGGGAAATAAATACAATCCATTTTTTTTTCTTACTTCGTTTTCAAATGATGGATAATATATATTAGGATTTATGTTGATAAATGAAAATTAAAAAGTTAATATTGATATTATTAGACATAATATTAGTACGATAATAATTTTTAAGTAGATCCAATATAGCTTTGCAGCTTTAAATGGAATAGGAGCAGAGGATTCAACAAGAAAGTATTCAAAATGATAAAAGCAATTAGTATAAGCTTATGTTATAATGTGGCGAAGCTTATCAACGGGATCAATTAACTAAAGTAATATTCTAATAACTATGTGTATATACACAGACGGCTTGCGGATGAAGATGACGAGTTATCAGAGGTTCAACCGGATGCTGTACCTCCAGAAGTCAGGGAATGGTTGGCGTCAACATTCACGAGGCAACTGGCAACATCCAAGAGAAAGTCTGATGAAAAACCAAAGTTCCGGTCCGTCGCACACGCTATCCGCGCTGGAATATTCGTGGATAGGATCTACAGACGGGTCACGAGTACTGCGCTTATGCAGTTTCCACAAGATGTAGTTCGAGTTTTAAAGGTCCGTATATATTGTAGTTAAGTACCAAGCAGTGCAACAAATTTTTCATATGTTTTCATTGACATATCCGTTGTGTAATATATATAATATGTATTTATATACACTTTATATGGTTACATAGATATAGTCAAAATTATTCTTTTCCCGCCTTTATTCATTTAAGACTTTCACTTTCATATTATTGATTATACGCCGAACAGATTACACTCTTAAACTTAATTTTCTAGGCACTTGTGGGAACGCGATCTTTCTAGTTAAGTTTTACATTGTTTTTCGGAACTTGTTATGTAACTTGTTACTCACAATCATTGTTATGTAGCTTAAATTAATATGCATTAAAACTTCATCTTTAACTAGCTGTCGCCCGCGACTACGTCTGCGCAAAATAAAAAAAAATTACTAACTTATATGTCCGTCCAGAAAACAATATTTCGGTGAATTAAAAGTTTCCAATAATTATTAAATTATTACGGATTTGAATGACAATGCTCGTAGATCGAAGACGGAAGAAAATATAAACGGATTGAATGAAAAACTACATAGATTAGATTTGAAATCTTTATAAGTACTCGTATTTTAAAAGAAACAACGTACTGTGCCAGCATCACATGAGTGGGAAAGGGATAGCTGTTGAGTTTGTATTATAAAATGTTAATATTAAGTTACTGCACTTAGTTATTACGGAGACTTGCTTCGATTATAACTTTAACCCTTTTAATTATTCATGGAGCGTCTGAGCTAATCGTGTCAGCACTTCAATTTCGTTAAACACTCAAAATTAACGAACCCAAGCGAGAATAATTCTCAAAGATAACGACTAATCTACAATTTTGGGCGTTGACATCCATAAAACTCACTTTTAGAGTTCTAGTTTGTTCTACTACTTAAGTTTTAGTATATTGGTATCATCACCCTTAATCTGATAAAAGATAGTGAACCAATAGCTTGTTTTAATATTTTAAGGTGGCAAACGAGCGTCCACCTTAATTCGCTGAAATAGCGAAGCGACCACTGCCCTTAGACGTCCGTAATTGCAATTGCGTTGTCTACCTTTAACTCACGCATAGAGGCTATTTCCTCTTCCGACACACCAACTCCTCGTCATATCTACTTCCCCCTCCCATCTTTCCTTTATACGAAAAGGGTGGTAAGGGAAAGGATAATAAAACTATATATCATTTGAATGCAGTTGATCAGGAACTCGACATAATAAAAAAGTATAGGAAGTCGTTTCAATATCTTGTTTATACCACTGTAATTAAAAGATAGAGGTAGAAGACTTTCCCTAAGAACTACCATTTTTGTAGTACTAATACTTAAACCGAATCTTTCCTTCATGTAAAATGTGTAGATCTGTTTGAATTTTAATGTGTCCACCTCACTGTTATCATCATCATCAGCTCACTATACGTTTCCACCGAGGGGCTCGGAGCCAACCCTAAGTTAGGAGTGACTATATAGTCAACGACGCTGGCCCAGTGCGTGTTGGTTCACACATATCTTTAAATTTCTTCTCAGATATATGCAGGTTGCATCGCGATGTTTTCCTTCACCGTAAGAATTTCGGTTATATGTACATATTTAAATCGAAAATCTAAAAACACAATGGTACATGGCGGGATTTCTTAAACCCCTGAGCCACCGACACTGTTATACTGGTCCAAAAGTTAACTAAATTTTTATCTTGACATTTAACTGTAATATTAAAATTAATTTTCATTAAGTTAATTTATATTTCGTCTACATCATCTAATTTATAAATTTTCAGTTTTTTAATAAAATTCGTTGCGTTATATAAATATTTTAGGTAACATTAAATGAAAATTCTTTAAAGTTTCTAATTATAAACTCAGGAGATTTGTTTTTTTTAATTTTCCAATTAACATTCTTTAAGTGGTTGTTAGCAGTGAGCTGGTTAATTTAAAGCAAACTTTGACCCCTCGCCGTGACGTCATCGTAAATTTCGTCGTAACGCTGTAGATTTAGTCCTAAGCAAGCAGAATGAAACATATGTAAGCTTGTAATTAGATAGAATTAATATATTAAAAGTAGATTATAAATTAAAAAGATCGACGTAATCCTAAATACTTCAAGATGTCATGTTAATTCTTAAAGTCTGGCAACGTATCACTTGTTCCTCTAATGTAGGTCATTTCCTTGGACGTAGAATCCACTAACATTAGGCGATACGTCGTTTCGTCTGATGAGTGTGTGTTTTGGAAGCCTAAATCTAGTTTCTGTGCATCCCTTCCTCCGTCGATTAAAAATAGGCAACGCATCTGCAATTTCGGGTGGCTCGTTTGCTACCTTGTAATAAAAAATAAAAAAAACATTAGTTACTTACTAGTAACAACAATCGGTATTAACCTACGAATAAACTCTGAGTTTTTATCTACAGTTCCTACTATCAACGAATTACCGTCTAAAATATTTAATTTCAAAAACAGACCTACAAACCGGAATTATATTCCATTAAAATAGTTCCAAAGCAAAGTTAAATAAGTTTAAAATTAATTAAATCCACTTTCTATTATGTGATGAATGTTTCAAAACATTTTATTTGTGACAGAGGAACTGGCGCTCGTATTTACCTGAACCTTTGTCGCTTTCATAAAACTATTCTGTGTACATTATGTCAGAGAGTCAACATCACAATTTATTAACTAGTTGCTTTTGAAAGCGGCCATTTTAATGTGAAAAAGATATAGGAGCAAACACAGTGATTACAGTCAAACTGTAACTTTAGGATTCCATTGTTAAGAGATTAGTATAAAATATTTTTATCTTCCTTTTCATTATCTATAAACAGAACAAGACAACATCTTACTTCTTACTAATAATACTCATATAAATGCGAATGTTTGGATGGATAAATGTTTCTAACGAGGTATCTACAAAACGGCTGCATGGATCTCACTGAAATTTGTGATAGATGTAGAACATAGCCTGGAAAAACATAAGGGCTACTATTAAAGTTTTTTTTAGTTCCACTCGAACGGAGTTGCAGGTAGGTAGTATATTTAATATTTGCAGCAGTGTAATTTAAAATTTTACTGTAACTATGTCCTTTTATGTAAGTTATAAACAGAAGAATGAAAACAAACCTTTTTATCTTTCAGCCTATTTACAGCATCTCTTTGCTATTTTCTTCCATTGTCTCTTGCCCATTGTAACAAGAGGCTAATTAAAAATATTATGCTTGAACTGTCGCTTTTGTTTCAAATAAAGCACAGTTTTTATTATCATATTTAATATGTTTATTTATGTGTAATTGACTATTACACATGGCAAGTTACAATGGTCATCGATAAATAACACTTCGATAATCATACGAGTACACTTTTGCATTACGTTTAATCGTCAACTAACTAATCACGTAATGTAACCACCAGTTTTAAATACAGACTGACTTTATTTACTTAAAACTACCCGCGATACATGTTCAAATTTACCGAAAATGCTCCCACCATTTAAATTACCTCCCACCCACTACCCTACTATTACCTAATTACTCCTACCCTTTTAAATTAAAGAAATAATAATGACGCACATATTAGAATTCCTAAACATACAGACCAATTTTCGTAATTAAAATATTTAATGAAGATTTCTTAAAATCTCTGTCCACAACGCTATTAAATTAAACAGACCATATAAATGGTTGCTATTAAAAATTTTATTCTATGACAATCTTTATACTGTTTTTTTATGTTTTAATTTAAGTTTTTTGTTTATAGACATTGGATGAATGGTCATTCGACGTGTTTGCACTGCACGAGGCATCAGTGGGAGCGCCAGTGAAGTACCTTGGATACGAACTACTGAACAGATACGGCATGATACATAAGTTTAAGGTAGGTAATAGGTAATAGTTATTGGCACCTTTTAATGTACTTACTTCAGCAGTACATATACTAAAATTGGAATGATACAGAAAATATTAGCATGGCCCCTGCTCAAGGATTACACGCAAAATCGTGAAGCGTTCTACAAAACCATAAATACGAGACACTCGCCCAATCCGCTAACGGAGAGCCATAATCAAGAAACTGAACTGACACCTTTTATCAATAAACCTGGTTTCTTTTAAGTTTCCAACAGTTTTCATGTAGCGTTAACTAAAAAATTAAATTCTCAGATATTCTAATAATTTAACCAGTTACAATTTAAATCAGTTTTATTATTTTCACCTAAATTCTTAACAAAATACTCTACTATATAAACTGTTAGTATTAAAAGCCTTTATACCTCAGAACTTTAACAATGAAGGCAACAGCCTGTGTAAATAATATTCACGTCTAACAAAATGTATGCAAAATAACAATACCCTCGTATCGCCTATAGGCTTTGTCTGGAATGTTACGAACTTAGTTGATGTCTATTGAGTTAGCTCACATCCTTCATTTATAAAAAATACTGTGTAATTTTGCTTCAGTATTTGTAACATATACCTTAGAAATATCGTGAATTTATCCCACAATAGTTGGTGATTATACATCAAAGTTCTACCAAATTTTTTAAGCAATTAAAAATATGATTTGAATAGTTTTAAGCTGGTAGAGCCTCGGTGGCTCAGGGGTCAAGCACTAGACTTGGAATCTGCAGGTCCTGGGTTCGAATCCCGCCATGTACCAATGTGTTTTTCGATTTTCGATTTACATATGTACATTTATCCGACGTTCTTACGGTGAAGGAAAACATCGTGATGCAACCTGCACATGTCTGAGAAGTAATTCAAAGATATGTGTGAAGTCAACCAACCCGCAGTTGGCCAGCGTGGTTGACTATGGCCAAATAACCCTTAACTTAGGGTAGGCTCCGAGCCCCTCGGTGGGGACGTATAGTGACCTGATGATGATGAAGCTGATCTCTTACTGACGCAGTCACATCAGTAAGACACTTTTGTTAATTTAAATAAACTAATAATCGAAAGTAATTTAATATTCAGAAATAAAATATCACTTAACAATTAGGATGCCGTCTAATGTTTGTATAACGGACAAAGAGATAAAGACCCTTCCATTGAATAACCGCCATTATTCCGGGACACAACGGTCTTGATCCTTGACAAAAGTTTTAGACAGTCTATTATACCATTAATTATATGTCTTAATATAAATAAACAACGGTTATATTATATTTATTTACCAAAGTCTGGAAAAACAAAATATTTAAAATTTCATTGTGTTTTTATTTTTTCAACATAACCTTTATTACGAAATAAAATTCAAAAGGTATAAATTAGTGACTAATACTTAACGATTCGGCAGCTCTTTTCGAATGGAAACCTTTATACATTATTGGTCCTTTGGCGCGAATGGCGTGCTTTCGTTATCAAGTGTCAGATTGATTAGTGAGGGAACGTAAACGTTGATATTTTAATAAGGCTAGTGTTGCGCCAGTACACCACCACAGTGCCGGATTTCCCTCCTAACAGCATCAGCAACAACAAAACATATCTTTAAATTGCATTTACAAAGTGCAGTAAAATGGATAAAAGCGCACATGATAATTCCTTTCTAAGATAATATTGAAACATATAAAGGTTTCTACCCTTAACTTTGTATAAAACAAACCACATTTAAAAAAACCATTCCAACCGCGAGACTCTGTAAGGTTTTCAAAGAATGTTTTCAAATCCTACTCACCAATGCAAAAGAGATAAAACTTTGTCTAATGATTACATGTTAGCATAAACCTTTGGAATCGTTTTCTTCATGAATGCGGGTAACTTTCGCTTTGACTTTGTTAAAGTTTTCGACTTCTTAGATTCGTACAGAGTTAACAGAGGATTATTCATGAAATATTCAGTGTGAAGTTGTTTATTTGAAATGGTCTTTTAAGATATTGCCTTTGAGTGCTTAGTAACGTTATGTTCTTTGAAAATTTATATCTGAACATAATTTATCAAATATAGAATACTAAGTATAATAATGGTACGCGTCCATTGGCCCTCACCGGACTCACCGCACACATAACCCGCAACGGTGTTCTTATTAAATGCCATCTTACGTTGCGAGCGGCGCGGACAGCGCTATGTAAAATCTTCCTAAGCAAACTAAAATCCGTTGCACACAACCCGTGTGTACGGTGCGTCAAATGCGGGTCAATGGAAGTGTACCTTTAATTAAAGCCAAATTAAAATCATCAATACTAATAGTGTCTGATTATCACGTGAATCAATCCGATTCAAATGAAATAGTTCAAACAATTATTCCAAGTCTTTGGCACTTTAGTTCTATAACCCCTACTATCACAACTCACTCTCACTGTTAATACGTTTGGTACAGGTGCAGTCGACCATTTTAGAGACTTTCCTCAGCCGGATAGAGGAGGGCTACTGCAAGTTCCACAACCCCTACCACAATAATCTGCACGCGGCTGATGTTGCGCAGACCGTTCACTATATGCTCTGTCAGACTGGACTTATGGTAAGTTACTTCGTGCTAGAAAAAATTTTCTTTCTAAATTATCTGTCAATTTTAAAAGGTTTCTTACTCTTCTTAGAGAAATTGAGAAATATTATTACGATAAAACATTATTGCTGTACCATTTATTTTAATAGTTAAAATCACTTTCTCTATTTCTCTGGATTTTTATCTCAACAATTTTAACAAGATATAATAATTGGTCGGTTAGCCAAAGTCCATAACGACGGACAATCTTAAGTCAATATTCTCTTAAGTAAAGAAGACATCTCGATAAGTATTGGCAATCTGCCAGATCCAACATTACAAAGTTGGACTTTGCCAATATAATTATGGTTTAAAAACTACATAAAAACATTTGCTCCCTTCAAATTTTGAGTTTCAATTCTAGATATTAACTTAATTTATACATATCTAGTGTCATCGGTCTATTGAAATCTTTTTCTCTTCTCATTTTATTAAAATATAAGCTTTATTATATGGACTTTTATACCGCCTTACTTATTACATTGCATCTCCTAAAGCAATGATTTCCAATTTTCTATAAACTTTATCCAAACAGTTTATAGAATCATATACTAGGATTTTTTTATATTAACTGCGGTATTTTATTTGATGATTGAGTATTCAATACTATCTCACCACTATTACCGCCACCAGTAGCGAATACTAACTCTACTCTTGAGTTTATAAAGCTTACTGCTGCTTATTGTGTCTTAATCATACTAAATATATACTAAGAGAAGCCCGTAGAGTCCGTTTAAGGACTCCAAATGCAATACTACTTGATAAAATGCATCTTTCATTTAGAACTGGCTGTCAGACCTGGAAATATTCGCGACGTTGGTAGCAGCGATTGTACACGACTTCGAGCACACCGGCACCACAAACAACTTCCACGTGATGTCCGGCTCTGACACCGCTCTGTTGTATAACGACCGTGCCGTGCTCGAGAACCACCACATCAGTGCTGCGTTCAGGTAACGTAATACTAAGACCTTTGAAATCTGGGTTATATAGTTCGCTCTACGATGAGCTATGAGTCATTTTGGTACTTGAAACTGAAACCAAAACAGTGGACACTGCTAGCAGTAATGATGCGAAATATACTACTTCGATCGTCCGTCGACTAAAGGTAGGCAAAGCATCTGCAAATGCGGATGTCTATGGGCAACGGTCGATTCGCTATTTCGTCGAATTTAGTTGGCCGAATATAACTATATCACTCGGAAAATTTATGAAACTTACAAAATGATAAAGTGTGAAAACATTTCTTTTTTTATTTTTTCAAACAAACAAAACAAAATTTCGCTCGCACCTTAGCAATATTTTCATGACTGTTATATTTTATCAACTGCCAAATAAATTGGTACAATCCATCATGAACAATAGTAAAATAGACTGCCACAAACATTTCTCAACTGAATAACTCTCATCGAGAAAAGCGATTGCGATGAAAGACAGTAAATAACAAAAGGGCGAAAATCTGAATGGAATTTCTAAATTCTTGTGAACAAAAGAACGCGATACGAAGACTGAGAACTCGTTACAATAATACACAATTTCCCTCGAGAATAAAATGCGCAATTTTTTCACACGTTCGTAACATCTTATCCCTGCCCCAACGTTAACCTTATTTCGTATGATACTAAGACAAAAAGAAATAATGCAGCATAAAATAGTCATTGGTACGTACCGACAGAGTTAATCGATTAGAAAAGCTTCAATAATTCCAAGATATTTTAACTTATTGCATAAATATTTACAATCATACAAAATATAACATCAGACATCCTTTCATACAAACGCCACCGGCGCAATTTCTTCCAATTTCCTGTGAAGAGTCTATCATGATTCTCCACTCCAATCCATCAATCAGGGCGACCTCGGTAAATTATTACGAGATCCGACATTATAATATAAATTGCGGCGCTCTAGTGCGCGTCGGCCCCCCGATGGAATAATTTAAGTGACGCAAATCTCGTGCGTACTGAAAAAAAAAAGATATTTCAAACGTTTAAATCGCATCTCAAGTATGGCAGTGAGGGTCTCTTTATTCCCAATGCGACATTTCTTTACACTACTACGAAGCACTGCTGTTCCCGACTGAATGAGATACTGAAAACTCATTTTTATATCTTTTTTTTCCAACATATAGTTACGAAATTTGAAACATAATCCTGCATTATAAAGACTTTTTTAAACTTACTCGAAGTTAATGAAGTTTAAATCGAGTTGTTATCAACTTTATAGCTATGACAAGAAAATCACTCTTAACTAGTTAGATTATCATAAATCTTGGTTCGAGAGTTGTGATAGATCGGTCTCGAGTTTCATAAAATTCGTCGTAAAGTTAACACCAAGTTGTTGATGAAAATGAACACTTTAATAGTCGCCCCCGGTCCTGGTGATTATTCAAAGTCATTTTAATTTATTGCCTAATTTATGAGACATTCTCAAGCAGTTACAATGTCAATGCATCCATAATAAGAAAGAGCTAAAGATGTGGAGAGATAACAATGATATAAGAATGAAACCTAGAGTTTTTATGTTCGCTGTGATTATTTTTGAATTTTAGTCTTTGATTTACATTATTTTTTTAATACAGAATCAACTTCTTAACCTTTCAGACTGATGCGTGATGAGGAGTGCAACATTCTGCAGAACTTATCCCGCGATGAATTCCGCGAGTTTCGCACACTGGTCATCGACATGGTGCTGGCGACAGACATGTCGTTCCACTTCCAGCAGCTGAAAAACATGCGGTCACTACTCACTCTCGCAGAGCCAGCGGTCGACAAGTCCAAAGCCGTGTCCCTTGTGCTGCATTGCTGTGATATATCGCATCCAGCTAAGGTATAAACTTTATAGTAAGCCATAGAACCACTAACAGTTGTTCCGCTTGCTCGTTTGCCAATTGACTTGCGGAATGCCACAACATGATTCAAAAGTCATGATGTACTATATTGTGATTTTAGCATATTCGTCGTTTCCCCTTTCACATTCACCTTCCCTTTCCTTTTTCTAAAACAAGAGTAACTTAGTAAGCTGTTTACAGCTATTTTAATAAAAAAGATAGTAAACGAAATTGGTAACTCTTTCCAGAGATGGGATCTCCATCATCGGTGGACTATGAGCCTCCTGGACGAGTTCTTCCTGCAGGGAGACAAGGAGCGGGAGCTGGGACTACCCTTCAGTCCCTTATGTGATCGGAATAATACTCTTGTAGCAGAATCTCAAATTGGCTTCATTGAATTCATCGTGGAGCCCAGCATGGGCGTTTGTGCTGATATGTTGGAATGTATACTAGGTCCGCTGCATTCTAACCCCAAAAATACTACGAATACTAGCGGACAAGAGCCCATTAATGAAGAGAATACAGGTAGCCTTTTCTTTAAATACTTGTAATAAAAATAGCCTATAGCATCCGGGGATAGTGTAACTTCCCAACAACGAAAGAGTTTTAGAAATTGGTTTAGTAGCTCCCGAGACTATTCAATGCAAGCAATCAAATCTTTCCTCTTTATAATATAACTATAGATTAGAAATTAATGAACATACACTTCAGGATATTTGTTTCAAAAACATTTTACACTAAACCAGCAGTTCTAGAGAAGCTTTTTAAATAATTTTTTTAATAAAATATTGTTTTTTCAGGTGCAGAAGGAAGCAATAAATTTAAAATAAGAAAACCGTGGGTGACTTGCTTGAGCGACAACAAGAAGATATGGAAGGAGCAAGCAGCTAAAGGTATGCTACATTTTTTAAAAACCTTATAACAAATTCCGCGAATCAACATTTAGTCCTCCGGCGATTCAAAGGTTAAGGGGTAAGGTCCTTCATATCCAAAAGCCTTCTTATCCTTCACCTTTTGAAAATATTGTACTCACTATTAAAATAAATTTTCAGACGCAGAAGCCCGCGCTAAGCTTGAAGAGGAGGCCAACGGCGAACAGCCAGTGGCAACAGAAGAATAATATTTGGCCACATTTGTAAATAGTGTGAAAACATCGTGTTGCAACATGTTTCAGTCACTCATGAAAAAGAACTAAATTATAATAGTTAAGCGGTTAAATAGTTACGCTTCTTCGCATTTAAATTAAGTGAACTGAAGTTACTCGTGCGTTTTTACTTTGTGATGAATGCTTAAAAAATTATAATTGTACAGGCAGTGTTACCAACATAAAATGTCTGAACATTATTAACACCTCAGTCTTTAATATAAACTTTAAAGTTTTCCTTTGTTACACTGTTCTATTTATAAATCATCATCTACGTTATGTATAGAAATTATTACAAAATTTAAATAAAAAGTAATGTCATTTGAATTCTACAATGATATTATAAGTTGCCAGTTTGTTGAACGTATTTATTTTAAAGTTATCATTGTTAATGTTTATATTATTACTTACCATATTTTTTTTCTGCCTTCAATAGTATCAACCGTTGGTTACTACTGCTGACATAAATGTACAAAAACATATGTCGATCTCTAAAAACGGTTTAAATAATATTTTTGTACTATTATGTATTATGTATAGTGCTTCGCGAATATATCAATGGTAAATCAGGTAGAATTGTAGATAAATTGTGCACGCACAAATGCATAGCACAAAATCTGTATAATATTTATGTGGAAGACATCGTAGTGAGGATTCGAATCGGCGACCCGTGACTGTGGCGCTTTAGTGTAAATCTTTAGATAAGATAAGCTTAAGCTCGTTCTTTCTGTGTATCTCCTTTTTTACTATGCCTTTGGGAGCGTAAGTGTTTACGGGAGACTGTAATTTGCAGTCCTTTGGCGGCCCTTTCTGTCTAGCGCCCTAGGCCGCCCTGGGCGTCCTTCCATCACACCGATACTGTTTATAGTCGTACATATAGATAAATTATTAATTTATTTCCCTTAAGTTCCTAATTACCGATATTATTTTAGATTCATATTATTAAATTAAGCGGTAGATTGCATAATCATATCACAGATAAAATATATCTTTGGAAAGCTATTTCTCAGGCTTGAATAGCTCGTGTAATTCCAAATAGTATTTATAGTAAGATTATTATTCAATTAAATTTAAAATAACTGTATAGATGCCTCTTATCTTGCATTAGATATGTAATTTGCAGTGTCGATAGAAACTAAAGTAATCCATTTAAAGTAGTAAAAATCATAGCAAAGTAAGTATCAAAATGTAATCTATACAAAAAATTGCTGGTTACGGAGCAAACATAAAACTTAATATTTCTACAGCGTTCTATATATTTGCACATACTTTCAATGGCATATTATTATAATATTTATGATAAAGATATAATGTAACTAGATTTAAAATTTAACCCATATAAAAAATACGCTTATTAATTTTAATGTTTTCCTAAAAAAATTGGAGAATCTTGATATTCTCCGACCGATCGTTGTCTATATTTGAAATTAAAAAGAAACAATTTTATTTATTAGTCATAGACAACTAGAGCATTGTACCTATAGCATAGTTCTTGCATGTATAGGAGCTCTTTTGATTATTTACAAAATAGCTTATTAAAACAACTTGATATTTATCATTGTATTATCTAAATTTGTCTTAAACACATGCTCAAAGCACCTAACAATATTTATTTCTACATCTATTGTATCAGACTGAGCGGTAAAGGAATTTATGAGATGCAGGATTTGGTCTGTACGAAATATCAAACATTAGAGGACCCAGCATAAATATACCGTCCTACTTGTAGACTATCTTTTGGCATGAACATACTAAGGAAAATATTTATATTCTTGTGACAAAAAACAATTTATGGCCAAGTGTTTACCCACAGGTGCCAAAAATTTTCGTCTGAAACTGGTAATTTACAATGGAAATAGTCTTTAACTCTTGTATAAGAGGCCTAGTTTTCAAGGTAGGTACATGGGACCACTGTCTTTGAATATCAAAATCATAAATCCATAATCATGCTAAATTTAGGTCCCTATCTAATATTTTCTGGGGTCGTAAGGGTAGATTTATAATCCAACTGGTGACGCTTATTGTAGAGAATTTTACAATAGATCTTTTTATATATTTATCATCTATGTATGTAAGCAATAGATTTATCAATAATACATGTATATTATGCATTTAGAATACTTATTATGTAATAGCAGTTACATAGTGTAGTCATCATGAATACGTAGTATATTGATGCAGTTATATTTGGGGATATAGCTTTATAAATATGTAGACTAGGTTAATTTATAATAAATTCAAAATCTGAAATAATGTGCTGACCCAAAACATGCATTTTGTGGCATGAAAGTCGCAAGGCCTTTAAAGATATGAGTCAGAGGCTTGCAATTACTTTGTCTATGCCTCTAACATTGACAGTTTAATATAAACTGGCAACACTGGCTATAGAATTGCCAACATTAAAATTTTAACAAAGGCATAAAAACTTTTTGTGCAGTTTAAAATATTACTTCACTGTCAAAACCTGGCAGCACAATTAAACTAATTTATATAAAATAATAATTTTAGACCTATAACATTCCACTTTGGAATAGACGTAAAAAGTATTTATGAAAAAGCTTGTCCCTTTTTATTTCATTATTATATTAATACTGAGTAAATGTGTCCGAGTATAACAAATGTTACAATTCTTGTATTTAGGTAATTCAACATTCCGATGTAAATATAATTATTTATAAAATGCTTATTCATTTTCTGTAATAAAACAGATTGTCTTCAACATATTATATTTATATCCTTTGTATAAATTCAACACATGTTATAGGTAGCATAGGCGCATCTAGCCTGAAGAGAATTAAGCACTTTTGTTCCTCTTAAAAGCGAAATTTTCAACCAGCTGGGAATAAATACATATTTAATTATTTTTTCTTGCAATCAACATATCCCTCCACAACAAAATAATTATAATTTAAGCTTCAGTGTAAATACTTACAGGTAGTATATCTTGCATTTTTTGTAAAATACACTTTATTTTCTTTAACCTTGTGTAATTTGTATGTGGAATGTCGTTTTTATCAACTAATTATTCTTTTTTCTACTTGTAAATAATTAGATGTCAAACACTCTTAAGAAATATTCAAATTATGTGTAAAATGAAATAAACATTTTTCGTAGAATCATTGTATTTTTATTACATCCTGTAACATTCTTTTTGTTTTGCGATTTAAAATATACATTTAAACAGCTTTTTATACCTAAGAGTAATTATTGCTTTTGAAAAACTAATAATTTATGCGTATCAAACAACATTAGCAACTTATTTTCTATATATCATTAAACTTTGTCAACTCCTTGATTTTTTATTTACCGTTGGATTCTGAGATCAAAATCTCAATATAAAACATACTGTCACAATGTCATCTTTGATAAGACTGAGATAACAATATGCTTTAAATCTTAGAAACCCTCAGTTAAAGTTTTATTCTTTGTTTAATTTTGAGTAATAGAAAGAAACAATTTTATTTACATTGTAGTTAAAAAAACAAGTGCCTATGAAAAATTATCTATTCCAAGTTCTGTGAGAACAACCAAAAAATGGAAAAGATTCATAACCAACTTCGGCAAAACTATCCCTACTGAATTGTCAAACTAATTAACTTAAATTGGACAAGGTATACCTATTATATTACAAAGCTATTGCAAAAAAGCTATCAAAATATAACATTCATACCTACATATATCAAGGTTGTGTTGTGCTGGTTTCCAAAGATATAATCTGACTGAAACTGAATAGTAATGTAAAAAAATAAACATTGTCTATTTTACAGAAAATTATGGTCAGATGACTATAGTACAAGAGTTATATGTAAAAAAAACTACTGGTTTTCATCATAATACATACATGTCAAAATATTGAAAGTGACATTTATAAATGCATTGACACCATAGCTTGAAGTTAACATCTATTTCCAACGGCTTAACTTAAAATATACTTGTGAGTTTTACCAAATATATCAATTTGCACAAGAAGTCCTCTTACATCTGTTTTTAAACGACTACATGTTATTGTGCCTTTAATTATATCACCTTTTTTCACTTCTTTACAATCCTTAAAATAAAACAAGGTTTGTTTCCAATGAGTTGGTGTAACATGAGGGCCTGTTGAAAAGCTTACCGATGTTGGTAAGTTAAAGAATGTATCAAAATAACCTATTAGAGATGTCATAAAACCATCACGTGTTATACAAAGTTCAAATGGTGATGTAAAGTCTACTACTTTTATGTTACAAGTATTTATATCAATGTTTTTCACAATACACGGTTCAGAAATAACATTTTTCGAATCCACAACTTCAACACTCGCCTCTCTAACCACTTCGGATTTCATACAATTCATTTTATAGCCATATACATCAGACCAGAAATTGATTAACTTTTTATGTGTGTCAATATCTCCATTTGCAACTAAACTTATGTTGCATTGATTTGGTAACAATATACCTCCAGGGTTGAGATAATTATCTCTAGCATATATAACACTATCTAACATCCCTTCAAAAAGCAGGAAATATCCCATCCACTCAGACACAATTATGTCAACTTTTTCCTCCAACTTTGTATCTTCTAGACGGCCTTTTATAGTTTTAATTTCATTTGAAAAATTGTTTTCCGTAATAATATCCATAGCATGGTAGATTATTTCGGATTGGTCTAATGCATACACTTTCTTAGACCCAGCAGTGGCACAGAACATTGATAAAATGCCTGTCCCACACCCTAAATCCAACACAGTCTTATTTTTAAATGTTTCTTTGTTAAATAATATTGCATTTTTATAACTTTCAGTGCGTACCTTGTCAGAGAGCATGTCATAATGAATACCGAAATGTGCATAACTACTGAAGTATCCTTCATCACATTCTAATGGTACTTTGGAGACACAATCAACTGTTACATTTTCATTACCAATAGAATTTGTATTACCTTCAACAATTGTTTTCATTGAACTTTGCATCTTACTCATATCTTCTCTTGCCATTTGCAGATGTGTCTGTGACTCTTTTAGTTGTTCCGAAAGCGTTTGTATCGTCCTTTGAAGTTCAATAAAATGAGCTTGTGATAATGTAACTAAGCCATTCTCTACATTAGCATGATAGGATTTTGGTGAACTGATATTTTCTGCCAATGAATCAAAGTCGTACATCAACCATTCATCATTATCAACAGGTTTCAAATATTTATCATCATTCCATAGAGCCGTTGCAGAACCCATTATGTCTTCAGATTTTGGTTTATGTGTTTTAATGTAATTAATCAACTTAATATATGAATAGCAATCCATGTGGTATTTAGATTTAAGAGCACTTAAGTTAAAATTATGGGTTTTCTCACAATGTAAGATACCTTCTTCAATTGTTGGCAGTGCAGTTGTGCAAAACAAACAAGTAATTGAAGAATTGCTTGTATCCATTTCTTGCCACTCCTCTTCGTCATATTGATCTTCATCACTACTAAGATCTGGTACGTCCGACATGATAAATTTAAGAAGTTCACTAATGATACAACTTTTTAAAGAAAATTATAATAGACTCTGATATAAAATCATATAAAACACACTTTAAACAACCATGTGGTTAATCAATTTGACATGATGACAGTACAAATCAGATGACAATGACACTTTCATTCAAATGGAAGTGACACTGACAGCTGACGGCTTTGAATGACTATCATGGAGTAAAACTTTTATGCGAAGATTGGTAAAATTAAAAGCCAAGCCACTAATTGAATTCATCGTTTAATTTATAAAATTATTCATTATTTAAATAGTGCAATAATATTATGCAAATAAATGTTGTCATGGTATATCAAAATATTCATAGTTAATGAGATAAAATGATCTGAAATTTTACGGTTACTATAGTTACGAAAGATATAAACATAACAAGAATTATAAATTAGTTTTATCGCTCTTAAGAACCAACTATGCGATTAAAAGTCTCTCCGATCAAAAAACCCAAGCACGATGGAGCGGTCATTTGCGTTAGTTGGAATAACACTGAAGATGTTTTCTCGTGCGGGTAATTTTCAGATTTTTTGTAAACCTTCCTGAATGTTTTATTATAAAAACTAATTACTTACTGCTTTTTGAAATTAGGTTTTTATGAAAAGAAAATGAATTTGATAATGATTTTATCTTATCGAATTTTAGCGATGATCACAAGCTAATAAAATGGAACCTAGCAACAAATGAATGTATGACGATTGCAACGTTTCCTGATGAGTTATATCCAACTGGACTTCATTTATTTCCTAAAATAAACAACAGTGGTAAAAAGTCACAAACTGACTTTATATTAATAGGATCTACTGATGGGAAGTGAGTGACTATTTAATCCACAAATTATTAGAAAAACGTTTAGCAAATAATGAATAATTTTAAATCCTTACATTTAATTTATCAACAGATTTCACATAGTCAATTACAATGGGCGCATTGAGAAAAGCATTAATGCGCATCAAGGTGCTTGCCTTGTAGCACTTTGGAGTCCTAACGCTGATGGAATTTTAACAGGTATCGCTTGTGTGGCCACGAACCTTTGCGTCGCAGTTGCCAATACATATTTTTACAGATTGATTTTGTATTTCCATTCATCTCGTAGCAAATTTTATTTTGCGACTTCTCATCCAAAACAAATTTTTAATCGATTGATCATACTCATGTTGTAACATTATTGTTTTAGGCAGCACAGTAGCATTGTCATATATTTTATTTTTCAGCTGGAGAGGACGGGTGTGTCAAGATATGGTCATGTAACGGTCTACTCAGATCAACTGTTGTCGAATCAGATGTGTCTTGTTATATGGCTGCATGGAGCCCTGATAGTAACTCTATCTTATACACCAAAAGGCATCATTTAATCATCCATCCATTACAAGCAAAGTCTAAAATAACTAAGGTAATTGGAAAAGTAGATATTGTCCGTATCCATTCGAAAATAACTTAGCTCAACAAACAACTATTTTTTATTGTTATTACTATTTCAGTGGTGGGCACATGAATCAGTTATATTATCCGTTGGTTGGAATGCAAGTAATAATTTAATTGTCTCAGGTGATGAGGATGGCTATATTAAGGTAAACTAAATCAAGTCCATAAAGTTGCTTGCTTTTATTTTTAGTCAATGCTAACATTTTTGTATTATTGTAGGTTTGGGATACATTTCAACAGTTAATATTTGCCACAAAGGAATTTGTACATCCATGTACTTCAATCAGTTGGTCACCGCATGGGGATTTGTTTGTTGCTGGCAGTTTTAACAAATTGTCACTTCATAGTGATGATGGCGTATGTAATATTATGCAAATTAAATTTAGCTAGTTTATTTTATTAGAATTAGTTTTTAGAATTACTTTCCTTCCTTTTCAGTGGCCGAACTCTTCATTAGACTTGGACGTTGGCAGTGTTTACTGTGTAGCGTGGTCACCTGATGGCACTCAGTTAGCGGCAGCTTGCGCCGATGGTCATGTTATTTTTGCACACATTATCGACAGGTGCGCAACTGATTTGTTTTACTGTAATTGTAGCTTAACTCGGTATAAATTCTGTTCTCTCTTCGCAATGATTTCTTTGCAACTTCGCAACAATTTTTAATTTAGTTATATACTAAATCTTTGCTTGACCAACCATGCCGCCATTGATGATTAAAATTTTGGTATATTCAACATCAATATATTTTTTAATAGAACTTACAACTGGAAGAATTTTACTTGTACTCAAATCGGGCGCAAAGTAATAGCGATAAAGGATATAACGACCGACGAAAGCGATCAACTTGACTATCCGGATAGTGTCGTACAAATTGCGCTTGGTTTTGACCATTTGGCGGTGGCCACGATAAAGCAGTGCTTCATACATAAATTGACGTCTTGGAATACACCAGTAACATTCGACCTTAAGGACGGCGCTGTCAGTGTTATTCTTCTGGCCTCAAGGTAATGGCAATTTACTAAAAACGTCTTTCCCCGAATCCCCATGCAAAGCTTCATTTTCGTACATTTTTGTTTAATGGATTGGTGTAGATATTATATAATCACAATTTCTAGATGCATGTGTATAGTTGAGCGTGGACGTCTCTCCGTGTTCAGCTATACTGGTCGCTTACTGGCCAGTCCGCAAATCAGTTCGCACTCCGAGTCACGTGGACGAGCTTCGATATCTTTAGGACCGGATACACTAGCGTCAGTTGACCACGCCAATCCAACATGTAAGCTCTAAAGCATTTTCTTTTAGTTACTTCGATGTCTAACTCTGTAAGCTTTTTAATTTGTATATTCAAATTGCTTTTTGTGCAACAAACTACTTTTGAAAACAAAAATATTTTCTTTTGCTTTAATAAAGTTATCTTTCAGTGGTTCATGTGTATGATTTGCCAACTGCTACTTATTCAATAAGTCGTGGGACAGGAGATAACAATGTGACCAAAATAAAACACCACACGGTGGTTTGCAGCATAGCATTGAGTCAGACCGGACCCATCAATGAGCGTCAAATAGCTTTGCTAGATAGGAGACGTGATTTGCTAGTTGCTACTGTTAAGGACCCGAAACAAAAGCTATCGGTACTATGTAAGTGTTCTTCTTTTTGTGGTTACAGTCGGTTCTTCATATTTGACTGTCTTTTGCGAGGCGAAACAGCGGATGTAATTGTTAGTAGATAAAAGATAATTAATGTTTCATTAACTATATAAGTAATTGAAAGGTATTATTACAAAGCTACAGGATAGAAATCATTCCACAAAGCTCTGCCAAACACGCTTTAGAATTGCCTCATGTGACAATTTTTAAATTGAAGGATTCAGTTGAATCTTAAAAAGTTTTAAACATTTAATACTTGATTTTTCCAGCCCGCGCAGTACTTAGCATTATGTGGAGTACAGAATCTGAACTATTAGTTGGCTTAAAGAAGGAAGCTATAGTGTGTTGGGCTTATCAGAAAAATAACACTCGTCCGGAACTTACTACAACAGTGATTTCGATACCGTCAAGGTAAATAATATTTATTTAGTCAACCCACTAGGCATTTCTTGAGACACGAAAAAAATGAAAGTGATTTTTTTTTCATTTTGTCCAGTAACATGGGTCATAATCCCAGCATACAGTGTGTAGAAAATGGAGTGGCGAGCATTTATCGCGGGAAAGGATCAACCGTCATGCACATATCGCTCGGCGTCATACATGTTGAGATGGTGCTTAAATATATCGCTTCCAACATGTGGAGTGAAGCTCTGCAGGTAATTTTATAAAGGGATCGCTTTTTAGTTCCTTAACTAATATGCTTAAATCTACCATAAATTATTTATGCACATAATATTCGCTACATTAATTGTTTGTATTAAAACACTTACAGCTTTGTCGCACATTGAAAGACACCAAACTTTGGGGATGTCTAGCTGAAATGGCTCTAGAAAAAAATCAGTTGGACATAGCCGAAGAAGCTTTTGACGAAGTACACCAGTATGCGGAGGTGTTTCGGATACAACACTTGAGTAAGAAATTAATTAATCTGGTTTAATAGGTTTTGTCGTGCATTTAATTTTTTATTAGCATAAATCACTGTGGTATAATTTCTTTTTCAGAAAACATAAGAAACAGTAGTGGAAATGCATAAATGAATGGAGAAAGGAAGATTACTGTAATAGAAATAAATTTACGTTAATAAAATCTATTGTTTTTTACTTATAATTATTTGATGGCACAGTTTCGAAGGTTCATTTCTTATGAAAAAGATCCTTTGGAAGTGTAAATGTTTATGCACTTGGAAGTCGTGGGTCTGGTATTTCATCCGCATGTGTTATTCCTACTTAAATAAACACTTGCATATTACATCAAATGTTTAAAATTTCGCGACAACGCACGCGATCGAGCCTGCGAGTCAACACGAAGCAGCACTTAAAGTCGACATATTGTCCACAAATCAGGGATTATGTCGCAACAACGTTAGACGCCATCAACAACAATAAATGTTACACAAATTGGCTGGCTCGACTGGTGAAACACTGTGACTACACAGAAGACCGCCGATGTATTTCCGCATTTCTTTTGACAGATTACCTTCCTCTCTGTGCTTCGTTTGTCTTCTGTACCGTCGATTTAATATAGGCAGCTCATGTGCAGATGTGGATGTCTATGGGCAGCGGTCACTTCGCTATTTCGTCGACTTCAGGTGACCGCTTGCTCGTTTGCCACTTTATAAAATTAAAAATAATGGACTACACTCATTTATTAGAGAAATTAGTCACGGAAAAAAAATTATAAACACAGTAAACCAATAGTAGTTAATACTGCGATAGATTTATCTGTGGCAACCAATGTACTCTTTGCTCTTTGACGTGAACATACGAGACCAACTTCATTCAATTTGGTTTGACGTGCGTTTTCATTTCATTCATTCCTTTTTTTAGTATCGTTTTTGATATTGAGTGTAATGTGTGTGTCAGTGATTTTAAAGAAGTTTTTACGAAAACTTTATTTAAGTTATAAAGTGTAAAATGAATCTTGAAACTTAATTTTATAAGTTAAACATTTTGTTATTTTGTGATAAAATAAAACTAAAAATGGTTTTATAGTTATACAACTGCGATTTGCGCATGCCCTACATTTTAAAAGTAACTTCCATTATATTTTTAAAGTTTTGGTTTACGAAAATTGTATGTGCGTGTTATGGCGAAAGATGCGTTCTTGGAACGGGAATTTCATACTGTTCCTGGGCGTATTTTTTTGTGTAAGCGGGAACGAGAATGAATCTATAAACGAACATTCTTTGGAATTGACCCAGTCCTTGAACTTGGCGCGGCAAGAGCTTATTCAGGAAGCATGTCGTCGATTCCCCTTGAAATTAAGTCTTGATGATTTACCGCCAAGTCAACTTGAACATATACTTGTTGATGATGAACACAAACTTCTTTATTGCTACGTACCAAAGGTGAGCTTGTGAAGGTTAACCAGTATTTCATAATAATCGTCCGCGTGTCTAAAATCGTCATTTCGCTCATCACTATAATTATTATACACATGTAATTCATAAAAAAAATCGTAAATAATGTTTATTTAAAAAAAATAATCTACATGCTACATAATACTTTCGTATATTATAGAGTGCAAAAGAAAATTAACAAAAGCAAAAAAATTGTTACTTTATGCAAATATCAGATTTAGATTCCAAACACACTAGGATGAATTCTCGGTAAGACATAATATGAATATTATGTTAAAAAAATTAAAAACTAGAACTGCCTTAATTTAATATCCATTTCTGTAAATAAACACCAATGAAGTATTTATTATATTGAAAAGGTCTGAATTAAAGACTTTACTGTAATGCCTTTAATGTTGAAAAGTGTATATTTTCTTGCAAATTTAATGTAGCAATTAATAAATATAAATAAAGCATAGTTTAGCTTATCATAATATTTCATAATTTTAATTTTTTATAGTGTAATGTCGGAAACATGCCAAAGATATAATGTTATGTATAAAACTGACTTGCTTTTTGCCGCGAATCCGTCTACGCGGAATTAAAAAAAAGAAACGGGATAAAAAGTGTCCCATGTCCGTCTCCTGGTTTTAAACTACCTCTCCACGAATTAACAGCCAAGTCCTTTTAGCCGGTCTTGAGTTAAAAATAGTGTAACTAAATAATTTATTGCTAACTTTTTGTCATATAAATTTTCCTTATTATTTCCTGATTAACATAAAATTTATTTAAGGTGGCATGTACGAATTGGAAACGTATACTTATGATACTGGCTGGAAAATGGAACGGCACCGATGTTTTGGCTATACCCGCGAGCCTCGCTCACTCACCTGGAATGTTCCGGAACTTGAGCACTGTACCCAAAGAAGACAGGCAGGTTATGTTGGATAATTATCACAAGATGATCATAGTGAGGAATCCTTTTGAAAGATTGCTGTCAGCGTATAGAAATAAATTGGAGGGAGATACACAGAGCGCGAAGTATTTTCAGGTATTGTTGACCGTTTTTATCTAACTGTAGAAATCGCGCGGTATTCAAGTGTCCACGATTTAAAGCACATTCACTGCGGCAAACATTTTGCTGGCTATAATGATGAATGATTATAACTCTGGATTGCAATTAAAAAGTTGAAGTGTAAAATGTGACTTAAAAAAAGAGAGTGCTATATTTCACTCTCTCTTTCTCATAGTCTCACAGTTTCACAGGAGACTCGCCCGGACGACTAACTTAATACTACATTATTTATTAACACATAGGACTTTTGTGATCCAATTTTTTACAGTTTAATTAAAAACTCTGTTGAGTTCTAACGCTGATAATTTTAATTAGAATGACCGGGAAAAACATATTTAATAAGCCTTGATTATTCAATTTCGGCTGTAAATCTAAAAAACAATTTTTTTCCGTACGCGTACGAAGTCATGGTTTATCGTTTATTTGAACATATAGAATGATTGACAGATTTTATATTATAAAGTTACTAACTTAAAACATTACGGGAGAAAAAATGACTTTCAATAAATATAAGTTATTCCGTTAGATTAAAATTAACTCCGTAATTGTTAGCTAAACTAAGTTTAAGTTGTAGTTTAACTAACGTGACCATTTATTTTTTGACTCAAAACGGGACATTAGTTTTTTTAGTAGTCAATGAAAAATATTTTTTTAAGTTCTTTCTTCTATCAAAATCTTAAGATACAAATTAATAAATACGTGTAGACGAGACGTTTAGTATTTGAGGCTTTGCATTAAGCTGAATAATAGCTTGTGATGATTTTAAACGAGTTTGAAATTCTTGGCACTTTTTATATCCGCCGCAAGAACTGAAATTTGAACTGGGTGTTCTCAGATGGATTGATCGACGACGTCGTCTCGCCTTCGCACACCGATCGCGTCGACCAACTAAACTGCTTAAATTTTCGCGCGGTTTAATAAAACAGGGCTATTTTGCGTCTCGGTACTCATGTCGGGGAGACCGGGACGCGTAACTATAAAACGGGACAGTCCCGTTCAAAACGGGACGTGTGGTCACGTTAACTACGGTTTTTATAAAAACATTTTGTAAATAATTAATAATTAGATTAAAAATAGACTTGCGTCATATAGTTAGCGGAAAACTTCAACCGGAATTAACGGATTTTTTCATATATCAATTGTAATTAAAAATTACTACTAATTAATAAAATCGCTTGTTTGAAACAAAGTAACGGCCTACGGTAAAAATTTAACTATGTAGAACACACGTTAAGTTCGAGTCTGAGGGATTCGGAGCCTACCCTAAGTTAAGGGTGATTAAGCCATAGTCAACCACGCTGGCCATGTGCGTGTTGGTTGACTTCACACATATCTTTGAATTTCTTCTCAGACATGTGCAGGTTGCATCAATATCTTTTCCTTCACCGTAAAAACCTCGGATAAATGTACATATGTAAATCGGAAATCGAAAAACACATTGGTACATGGCGGGATTCGAACCCAGGATCTGCAGATTGCAAGTGCTTGGCCCCTGAGCCACCGACGCTATAATGTTAAGTTGATATACTTGTAAGATTAGTAGTAACATTTTAAAATGTGTATAGCTATTAAAAGCATTTAAAAAATATAATTTTAGCACACATTAGCACACTAACCTATGTGGAATGTCTATCTAGGTCAGTCTCACCGACCGTGCTCAACACAGTCTTGCAAAAACTGAGGAAAGGTCGAGACCTCCTAAATGATAAAACATATAATTTCCAGTGTCATTCCAGTTCCATATTGCTATCTCAATTTTACTCTAGAGAATGACAGAGATAATAATATGTTTTGACAACTATTTTAGCAATGGAAATTCACAAATAAAAGATAACGTATTTGAGTAATATTTGTTTTTATAAATTGAATAACGCAATGTAAAATAAGTTACTAACAGTCGATGATAAACTATAGTTCAGGGTATTTAAAGCCCGAGATAAAATTAAAAACATCATTTTTTTTAGTGTATTTTAAAGTCCACATAACAACTAGTTTTTTGGAATTACGACATCATATTAAAATAACGTATTGTGAATACTAAATTAGGGCTTTCATTTCTAACTTGTATTCTTCGTATTGGAAGCGTCCTGGTCGGCACAGTATGTAATCTTCCATAGATCTCAATCAGCCGTCGTATCTGAATTCTCTCCCTTATTATCTTCTTTCATACAATCCATCCATACTTTCGGTCTTCCGCTCTTACATAACTAAGGAAGATATGGCTGATCTTTGTTCAAACATATGTTAAATATGTTCACAGGACAGAGTGGGCAAGAGGATAATTAGAGCGTACCGTGAGAATCCTACCAACGAGTCTCTGGAGCATGGGCATGACGTCACGTTCAAAGAGTTCGTGTTATTCCTCACCAATCAATCGGAGGAGATGGCTGATGTGGTGAACAACGAGCACTGGCAGCCAATCACCAGCCTCTGTCATCCCTGCCTCATTAAGTACTCGCTTGTTGGTAAGTTAACAATTTAGTACAATTTTCGCAAGTAAATAGTAGCTGTCGTCCGACTACGTCCGCAAGGAATAAAAAAAAAATAATTAGTAGCCTCTGTGTTTTTCCAGACTTATGTTCTACATTTATGCCAACTTTCAGCGAGATCCATGCAGTTGTTTTGAAGATACCTTCTAACAAACATCTATCAGTCCTAACATTCGCATATATAACAATAGTAAGATTATAAAGTAAAAATAAAAAATTAATTCTCAAAATCAATAACTAATAACTGTTTCGTAAATACTTACATTTACTGTGTAGTCCCGAGAAACAATGAAATTTACCTAATGTTTGATTTGATTATTGCATTGAATGTAAGCATAATTTTAAAACCTTGTTAATTATTTTTATGCTTCGCTTACATACCATTATAAATTCAAGGTTGAATAACCTTACATAACTGCGGTATGGTCTATGTTATTGAGGGGATTTTGTGGGTTTTACCGCGACTCACTTGTTTTGATCATTATTAAAATTTTCCACCGTTCATGACTATTTTCTAAAAACGAAAAAAAATGACCCGCTGTTTATAAGCTTTATGGGGCCTTGCAGGTCACGCTGTATACAACAATTCGATTAAAAAGCGTCCGACAAGCCACAGTGTTGAATGGAAGTATGGCTTGTCGGCACATAGTCTGACACGGCCTGATTGAAAAATTAGCTTGTCGGACATATAGTCCGACATGGCAGCTAACGTGTTACATGAAAAAATGTATCTTTGATTCAAATAATATTCTAATGAACTTACTAATATTATAAATGCGAATGTTTAGATGGATGGATGTTTGGTATCTCCAGAACGTCTGCACGGATCTCGCTGAAATTTGGCATAGATCTACACAGTCTGGAAGAACATAGGTTACTAAGTTTTTTTTTTAAATTCCGAGCGTAGTTAAATTATGATTTTTTAATAAAATTCGCACTAATTATTAGATTAATTTGTTGGTAGACAAAAGCAGTTATTTATTTATATAATCAAAGATGTAATATTTAACTGCCCTAAGTGACACTAATTTCTAGTTAATTCATATTAAGTAGCTATAAAATATGTGATAAGAAATCTCACGATCATTATGCCAATAGGTCAATCTAATAAACGTAGGTCTTCTATAAATAGATAAATACAAATTATAACTCGTAAATAAACATACAATAAATACTTCGAGTAACTTGAACTTTATCATTTTTCAATTTTAAATCTTGCTAATATTATAAATGCGAATGTTTAGATGATGGATGTATGTTTGAAGGTATCTCTAGAACGGCTGGATTTTGATGGAATTTGGATGTAGAATACTTGTCTGAAAGAACATATAGAGTAATTAAGTTTTTTTTAACTTCCGCGCGAAGTGACGCGCAGGCCACAGTCCCTCGTCTTACTAACTTAATTTTAATCGTTTTTCAATTTTCATACTTAATACTACTCTTTTTTGATGCAGCCGTCAGTCTGTCTATGTGAAAACAGCAACTTTAGTTGAAATATGCCAAAATCATTATATTGAAACCAAAGAGTTTTTTTTTTAAATCATTCTTCTACTTATTATTCCGAAGGCAATATTTCTCCTTGAATGTTTTTAGCACCTTGTCAATAGACATATACTGTGGTAAATCAAACTGGCTACTAATTAACCGAAAAATAAACACTTCCGTGTAATTCAAAAATACTTATATAGTTGTCTCCCTTTTTTCAAAGAGAATGAAAGAGATGGTGGTATGCTTAAACTAGTGTTTGAACAAAAGAAACCTATAATTTCGTATACATTCGACAGATTACGTCTTTGTGGTTGTCGATTGTGTCATTATTTTTTGTTCGTTGTGTTGCGAATTATACGAATTATAAGCCACTAGCTGTTAACCGCGACTCCGTTCGCACGGAAATAAATATAACCTTAATTAGTAGGTTACGTATTCTTCCAGACTATGTTTTACATCTATGTTAAATTTCATCGCGATCTATTGACCCGTTGTGCAGATACATAACAAAAAACATCCATACAACCAAACACTCGTATTTATTATATTAGTATGATATTAAGAGCTGTAAGGAATTGCAGCATTATTTTGTGTTCATAAATAAACACGATTAACGCTGCGTCATTCATTTGTTTGGAATAGAATTGTTTCACGAACATTCCAGAAGTAATCGAAAACATATATAAAAACATTTAATATTCCTACATGAGCGTCGGTGGCACAGTGGTCAAGTACTTGGCTTGCAAATTGCAGGTCCTGGGTTCGAATCCCGCCATGTACTAATGTGTTTTTCGATTTCCGATTTACATATGTACATTTATCCGACGTTCTTACGGTGAAGGAAAACATCGTGATGCAACCTGCACATATCTGAGAAGAAATTCAAAGATATGTGTTAAGTCAACCAACCCGCACTTGGCCAGCGTGGTTGACTATGGCCTAATCACCCTTAACTTAGGGTAGGCTCCGAGCCCCTCGGTGGGGACGTATAGTGAGCTGATGATGATGATTCCTACATTAAATACATGTCTAAATACGATAGCTTATGAATATTACATTAATATCAATGGGTTTCTATGCTAATGTCTTAATTATTGAGGTAAATAATTTATTCCGCTTTTAAAATGTTTCATATAATTTTGTATTTAACTACGTCTCAGAGTTTATTATTACAAAATTTTTCTTTTGTATGATTCTTTTAATAGGAGTAGATTCTCAGGCTCATTAAATACTCGTTACGACTTTGGCAACGTTTTTTAGACGTCTACAAGGTTCTTTAGATAAAATTATAAGCTTCATATTTTTTCTGTCAGTGACTTTACAACTACAATTTAGGATAATTTTCGATGTCCGTATTAAATAAAAAATGACTGTATAACTGATGATTGATTTTACAGCTTATACGGACCCTAGATAAAACCCGTACAATTTTTTTTTTTAACAAAAGGTGTCAAACGAGCAAATGGCCAGCAAAATTCACCGAAAGAGCGATGCGACCGCTTTGCATAGGCATCCGCAATTGCAGATTACGGAGAGTAAACATAAGAAAGGGAAATATTCTCCTATACGTCCTCCGTCTAATCCACTTCTTCTTCCTATCCTTTCTTCATAAGCAAAGGATAAGAAGGGAAAGAGGACTCAAATTAGACTTCCAGCTTTTTTGACACAAAAAAATGTTTAACGGCGTCGGAATAATCTATGTTAGCAATTACTTTTCTTTGGCTTCCTAACTGACATCTACAAACATCGTTTATCATGATAGATTCATTTAACTTGTGTTCATGTCATGGGTAACCTTGGAGACAATTTGACGAGATCGTTCCCAAACTTATGTGAGTACAATCAATTCGTTTGATAAATTACTCGACCTCGTTTGTCGTCAATAAAAAGGGCCGTTATATCAATTTTACAATTAACAACAGCTCATGATTTTGTTGACCGTTTTCAGCATTCAAAATAGTCTTAGTTTACGTCCGATTTAACGTATTTATCAGGTCATTCAGAAAGTATTGCGAGAAAAAGTTTTTTTGTATATGAAACTGGCCAGGTATAATTTATTTAAAAAAATATTAAAAAGCATTACTTATAAATAGGTACGTTCTAAATTCAAAACTTGCCTCCACATTATTTGCTGATAAATTGACTCTTTTGTTTTATTTTAATCTCCTAATTTATGACAGGCTGGTAAATGGTTTAATAGCGAATTAATTAAGTATTATTAATTTATCAGTGTAACCTTTCCCCAGTTATGTATTGTTATCGATTTCTTCAAACCATATAGTCACGCACTGATAGCCAAAAATCATTACAATGAGTACACTTCTTCGTAACCCGATTTGAGTAATTTATTTACTCGCATGCGTCAATACTGATACGATAGTTTACATAACTAGCCTATTTTGTAACGTATTTCATTCCGAGAATTCCAAAGATAAAATAAGGCTAAAAATAGATTTAAGAATACAAACCGGTTTAAAAATTCACCTTATTGATAGATTTAATCGGACAATCTTACTTCTTACTAATATAAATATAAATTATTGGATGTAAGGATTTTTGTTAGAAGGTATCTACAGAACGGCTGCATAGATCTCGCTGAAATTTAGCATAGATGTAGAACATGTGGCAGAAGGCAATAAGCACATAGGCTACTATTTTTTCCGTGTGCACGCAACAACAATAAAAATAAACTACTATGTATATATGAAGTCCGGTTGTGTTGATTTCACTCAGAAAATCTGTACAATGCGTCTCCCTTAATGAGCATTAATGTATTATGAGAGTGAATAGTGTATAACTTTAAAATCCTGTTTGAATCTGTGTTTAGCACGTGGATAAGTAATCAACCTAGATGTCTACATACCGTAATCTCTTCTGCATTCATAGATGCATCTGAATACACGTATCATACGGAACCTAGTTTTCTGATAACATTATAACTGGTCATATAAAACCCGTTGATATGACATACATATAACTTCATTTTATAAGCCTATTTCACAATGTACAGGTAAAATACTGGATGACTAAAACAGGAGGCCGGAGGCCTAATTTAGTCCTCTTTCCCTTCCCACCCCTTTTTTTTATAAAGAAAGGATGGGAAGTGGAAGTGGACTTTCCGGATGAGAGGATGCATGGGAAAGGAAGATATTTTCTTTCTGTGCATCCTCTCCTCCGTAGATTAAAGGTAGGCAACGCATATGCAATTGCGTATGTCTATGGGCAACGGTCAAGGGTTTAGGTGACCGCTTGCTCGTTTGCCACCTTATGATATAAAAAAAAAATAACTGACTGATACTATTTTCTGTCAATGATTTGCGTCTATTTAAAACATATGTTCCAATTATATGACTGAGGACTTACTTGTACATTGTGACCTTTAAAATGTAATACATCAAAGTATAATTCGATTGAACTTCAAATATATTGTGATATCTTTTATGTTGTGAATCTATCTTATAATATTATAAATGCGAATGTTTAGACCGATGGATGGATGTATATTTGAAGGTATATTCAGAACGACTGCATGGATCTTACTGCAATTTGGCATACATACAGGATGTCCCAAAAGTTTAAAAAATACCCAGAGGGGAATTTTATTTTATTTTTCTGGTGACCCTTGTGACCACCCCTATCATCCCCCTTCCTATGTACGTAATCTTTTGGGACACCCTATATAAAACATAATTTGAAACATAGGCTACTAATTTGGTCCTTTTTTAATTCTGTGTGGACGGAGTTGCGGACGCCAGTTAGTTATTTATATAGTACATTCTTTTGCTGGCTGACCCTAGCCCGATATTAATATTGTGGTGTCTTGCTTTTTGTCTTTGTTGTTTCATGCGCCTATTTCCCTTGTCAGACTTTCACAGTCGTATTCCTATAGTCGAGTGATGCGGCACCACGATCCTGAGCCAAATGTGGCCGCGACAAAGTATATAATACATACTGAAGCCTATATAAATCAATGAACCTTTTGAATGATTACAATTAGTTATCCACGTAGTTGTTTTAAAACTCACCACGCTTTGCTTTCATGTGCGAATAGTTTTCTCTGTTAAACTTTGTTTGAGATAAATCTAAACAGTTCGCTTTCGGCGAAGTCATGTTCACACAAACAGGTTTTGAATTTTACGTCATCTTGACTTCACGACGTAGACGAGATAAAAAAACCCGACTATAAGTTTTTGCCGCAGACATCTTTGGAGTTTTTTTTTTCAATATTTGGTCGGTAAGGTCGATGGGTTAGTTCGTTCAGAAGCTTGCAAATAAATTGACTATTTTGATTTTATACATTAACTAGCTGTACACCCGACTCTGTCTGCGGGGAATTAAAGAAAATAACTGAATAAGTAGCCTATGTGTTCTTCTAGACTAAGTTCTACTTTTATGCCAAATTTTAGCGATATCCATTGAGCCGTTTTGAAGATATCTTCTAACAAACATCAATCTAAACTTTCGCATTTATAATATTAGTAAAGTAAACACACTGACAAATATCTTGCATTTTATACTACGGAGTTGCGCCATTCATATTAACCAATAAACGACCAATGACCAAGTCACGCTATCGCATTTTTTGAATACATCTGCATAAAAATACGAGTTTCAATACAATAAATAATTCAAAGCATTTTTTTTATATCATAAGGTGACAAACGAGCGAGCGGCCACCTGAAATCGCTGAAATAACGCACTTGCATATGCGTTGCCTACCTTCAATCGACGGAGGAGAGGATGCACAGAAAGAGAATATTTTCCTTCCCTTGCATTCTCTCACCCGGAAAGTCCACTTCCACTTCTCATCCTTTCCTTATAAGAAAAAGGGTGGGAAGGGAAAGAAGACTAAATTAGTCCTCCGAGACGCACACTCATCAGACGAAACGTGGAATTGCTTCCACTTCACGCCTGTCTTTGTTGTCGTGGTAATTAACCGGGCGAGTCGGGCCAATTCGTGCGGAGATATTAAAGAGGGCTCTACCACTGTTAAATTTGCTATAAATTTATTGCAACTAATATTGTTGAATATTTTTTTCCTCAGGTAAATACGAGACTCTATTGGACGATTCGTTGCTCGCTTTAAACACTATCAATGCTTCCTACATCCAGTTCCCAAGACTCGCCCACACGTCGGGCACGGCTGAAAAACTACATAAATATTTCTCACAACTAGATCTACCTCTTATACGACGTCTATACAAACTCTACAAATATGATTATAGAGTATTTAATTACGATCTAGATAATATAGTCGGCTATGATCTTGGATAAATTAGTTTAAGAACCGTGTGCTATTTTTTTAGTTAGCTTACCAGCTAATTCATGTACAAAATATTGTGATTCTTTACACGAGTACATTTTTTCTATAGATTTATTATTTTATTTTGCGTTTTCACTGCTGAAACAATCACGTAAACAGAGAATGTGCAGGTCAGGAATCCCATGTTAATTCAAATGGTAACCCATAATGTTAGAATTAGCTTTGTAAATATCACAAGGTGTATGAGATGTATACATAATATGTGAGTGAGACAAGTGTAAGTATTATAGGAACAAAGATATAATATTAATGTCCCCTTTTCTTATAAAAAATCCTATCATGTCCCTTATTTTTAAGGAGTGTATTATAATATATTTCATTCCATTTAAATTATATTTTTACATATTTTGCAAATCGTATTTAATAGATTTACTCATAATATAAATTTTCATCCGACGAAAAGAGTTACTTATCTTACCATGGGTTTCTGAAACCAATATCTCTGTATAACATATCGTCATCCCTGTCATCTTTAAGACAGAGATAATAAGTTTTAACCGTAGATTTTGGTCTAAGAAACCCGCTGTTAATAAAATAAAAATGTAACTATTTTTGTCGGATGAGTTTAAATACCTCAAAGTAAAAAACTATAAATGATTCTTGATTAAAGATACTTTTATGTTTTTCTGAGCTCTAAATTTTATTTCAAAATACATTATTCATTGTATATTCTCACGCTAAATGTAGCACGTATATTTCTTTTTATTAAACAGAATTTTCTTAATTATATTTACTATAAATCTGTTAATATTTACATACAAATGTTAAGTTATTCTAAAGTCATTAAAAGTTGGTAATATTAAAATGGATTTAGCGTTGCCAGGCGTCCGGATTAAGCCGGACATTGTTAGGCATTTTGATTGTGTGTCGGACCAAAATAAACGGTGTCCGGCTTGTTCGGCTTTTGTAAGGCTTTTTATATTTCGCAAACGTGAGTTGCCGGCGGAATGTAGGGTGTCCGGCCTTTCTACTCAACTGTCCGACCAAACTGGCTGGTCTGTCCGGCTTTTAGGTTTTGCGACCTGGTCATCCTAATGGGACTAATAGAATCTCTTATTTATATTGAACATAATCAAGTATATGGTGCCTTATGTAGTACTCTAAAGAATTATTTTTTCTAAGGATAAATGTAATTTTTAACGGATGTGACGTATATTTATTAAATTTAAAAATGAAATTACTTAAAGTGTTTTATTTGAAATAAAGATAACACCCAACTTTTTGTATTTATTTCCAAGTTATCAAGCAATCTAGAAATATTAAATCCCTGTTTTATGGTATGTTTGACTTCTTGCTAAAGGACTATATTATGGTAAGTAACATATCGAAAATCAAATGCAAAAAGGTTTTATTTAAATACCACTGATAGGTAAGTGTTGTAACTAATTTTTATCACGTTCCAAAATCTGGGTCACACATGAATCAAAGTTTATTGGCGTCTATTAATATCAATAACATTTGGTAACATTATTTTATAACGCACTTGCATAATTACAGTTCTTTTCAAATATCTTGACGGTCCAAGGTGATCGCGCATTGCCCTCCCTCCGCATCCCGCTACGGCTTGTTACAGCAAACATTGTGTTCGGAAATCGCGGGTAACAAGCCGCCAATATATTTGAAAACATTTATATCGATCTACTATCTATTTGATATTTGGTATTAAATTACAATAATAGACAAGAGATTTTAACATATGTACGAAAATAGAAAGCTTAATTCAGCAGTTCTGTTTCAGTCAAGTGTAGAACAGTCTGAAACATTTTATAAGTACAGGTCGTAGATATGAGAATCACAGTTAAAAACTAATCATTAAGGTGTAGGTAAATTAAATTTTGTTACATTTTTAATATAATTCATAAGTTTCTAGATAAATTAATTTTTATGTATTATGTATATGCATCACAAAGCAATATGCAATAAACAAAATTACGTTTATTAAAAAACTTTATAATAACAAATTAAATTATGAATCGTTTTATTGTCGTAGGCAGACTAGGTACACTGTAGGGAGATAACTGAATGACAGTCCCGATATCCTTATCAATGAACTTTGACATGCATTTTACGTAGGATGTATTGAGATATGAGATGACTGGTAGACAGAACCCTCTAAGCGATAGTCATTGTCCGGTCCCGACGGGCCAACTCCGTAAGCGAGAAACTCGGGTTAGAGAGCTATAAGCGATGAAAAAATCGTGTTCTTTGGATTCTTGCTTATCCAGGTTGAACTGTAGTATATATGTTTGATAATAGTTAGTCGCATATGTCAGGTGTTTGAAAAATATCTTTTTAAGAGTATTAGTGCCAATATACACTACTTTCAGTTAGTTTTCATTGTCGTTACATTGGTAAAACAAAATTTTTGCCGAATTTTCGCTCCGCTGTAATAGATGGCGTTGTGACTAACGCTTTTGAGAAATAATTAGTCATTTTATTGTTTAATTCGAACGGTTCAAGTTTAAAGAATAATTTTCTATTAATAGAATTTAAACTCATTCGCTGATCTTATCGTCGTAAATACATGGCATGTTGTGATTTTACGCTAGGTTGAATAATCTGTCCGTTTCAGTTTCTCCTCATAATGAAAAATTGCAGCAAACTTTCTAAGTTTAGTATCTCATATGATCAACGTGGTAAGAATAGTTTTGTTTTTAATGGTCTTTTTATACGCCCACTAATTTCTATAGATATTTTACTTCTTTATATAATCTAACGCTGATACTAGTGCAATACTTTGACTTTAAAATATACTGTACTCACTTTACTGCGGTATAATTATAAGTAAAACGCATCGTTACCATCTGCAAGAGAGGTATGGTCTGTTCTGTTTCTTGTTTATGGCTCTCCCTCATCGGATTGGGCCAATGTCAAGTGTTTATGGTTCTGTTTAAACTTGTTAGAGACTGGCAACAATACTCTGCTTGTAGAGAAGTCTTATGAATAAACAAGTGAACCAAAGAATAAAACTTTTGAAATACCTGAAACTGTTGATTTACCCAAAAGGACAGACACAAACATTTAAATATTGTTAGTAGGTTATAAGACGTACAAATTATAGTGTAATATTATTAGTGTTAATATAGTCAAATAAAATATTAATAAACGAAGTATTTACAAAAGTTAAGATAGTCTTAAAGTTAGTGGGACGAGGGATGGAATTGGGAAGTATATCCAATAATGATGATGAGGTATGGTCATTATCGTAGTCAAGAATCCAAGTTTGACATCCATTCTAACATCTGTTATATAAACAAAGTCAATAGAACAACCGTATCCGTTGATTATTCTGAAATACCCAAGCATTTTGGATACCGAAATTGAGGGCGATGTTGTTGTGTTTCTCAATTTATTTAAAACATTAATACGTAAAAACAATTATAATTAATGTTCAGCAATACTAACGTGAAACCTATTGATATTAAAAATATCACCAAATAAGGATAATCATAAAAATATACAAAAGATTTTATAACATAATAAATAAATTTAAAAGACGTCATTTCACGGGTCAAGCAATAAATTATGTTAGTATTTCTTGTTTTTGCAACACACATCTAACAATCTGAATGAATATGAATTAATTCTATAAACTGACACAAACTGAAACACAAGATAAATAGATATTTTATTTGATGTACCAATAATTTATTAATGTAACGACCTCATTGTTTAGTCATGCAGTGTCATGTTAACAAACGACTTATTGCGTACATTGATTTATATTCTTCGTTGAAATTGTAAATATTCTAATTCACTTCAAAATTTTAATTCTCACAGCCAAAACCTGTGGATGCCCAGACCGAGACAGAAGAATCGTAGACGTTTAGACAGTGACAACTACATAACTAGAAGCTTGTTGCTTTTGTATGTTTTGCTAGACAAAGCGTTATATTACGTACGAAATAATTCATTTACAATTCGATTTGTTCTAAAAGATTTAAATACAGACGTAAATCGATGAAAATAAAAATACTTTAACTGTTGTTAAATTTGTTTATTAAAAATGTTCACAGTTAAAGTTATGAGAGGCTTGTAGTGAAGATTCAGATTTAAAAACTTTTTGATTAGGCTATGTGTTCTTCCAGACTATGTTCTACACGTGTGCCAAATTACATCAAAATCTGTTAAGCCGTTACGATACCTTCAAACATCCATCTCTCCAATCATCCCTCTAAACTCCGCATTTATAATATTAGTATGATTGGACAGATTACAATCCGCTGTATTTTGTAATAGCGTCTTATCCAAAAGATTCAATAGAGATCAGTGGGTTTTATCATTAGCTGTCGCCCGCGACTCTGTCTGAAAAACTGAATAGGTAGCCTATGTGTTCTTCCAGACTATGTTCTACATCTGTGCCAAATTTCATTAAGATCCGTTGAACAGTTCTGGAGTCAACTAGCATATCCATCCGTCTAAAGTTTCGCATAATATTAGTAAGATGACTACTTTAGATTGAAGTTATTATTAAAATGTTTGTAAATGTACACCACTGTCTATGACATATTAAATTTGACACCTCGTAGTGTCAGCAGTTTCAAGTTTCAACATCACAAACAATTACAGTACATAATTGGAACAATTTTGAAATCAGCATAATTTGGTTAACTTTCTTAGGGGTCATAACAACCTGAATAAACAATGTACTCAATAAAATAAACACGTGCAGGTGTATTGTGTAATCTATATATATAAAAGAAAGTCGTGTTAGTTATACTATTTATAACTCAAGAACGGCTTTACCGATATGACTGAAAATTGGTGAAGAGGTAGCTTAGAGCCAGGAGACGGACATAGGATACTAATAATTCTTTTTTTTTATTTTTTTTTCGAATTTATGGCTTGCAGAGCTGCTTTTTATTTAACTTACTAATATTACAAATGCGAATGTATAAATGGATGTGATGCGGATGGATGGATGGGTGGGCTACATTAAGTTTTTTATATATCCACGCGGACGGAGTCACGGGCGACAGCTAGTATTAAGAAAAATAAGTATTATTAAAATCATCAGATAAAAAAAGTTAATTGTTTACACGTTCCCTTTAAAAATACATTTTTTTACATTAAAACGAATTTTTATTTGATATTATTTATGTGATAAATGACTAGGATCTCATAGATCTACTCTCAATTCAATGAATTTAATATAAAATAAAATATTATTATTTAGATCGCAAGCAAAATTGTCGTATTTTCTTTGGTATTTTACTGTAAGATTTCGGATAGTACTTAAGTTCCGATAGGTCTAAGGTAGCTCAGTCCGATGACGTCAGCTGGAACCTTGCAGTCCTTCCATTGCCTGGAATGTATTGTGAAGGGTCCGTCTCCTGATAATGTCACTAAAACAAAAAATTTAATGAATCTTTACAAGAAATCATGCAAAACTTATATAAGATTCATTAATCGTTAATTAAGCATTGAAGAAACTTTGAGTGTTGATTTCTGAGTTCAAAATCTCTCTATAAAATCGTCATCTCTGACATTATCTTTGATAAAACAAACCATATGTTTTAAACGGGGTTTTTATCTCAGAAACCCAAGGTAATTGTCGAGTTTTGCTGCCCGATAGCAGCAGCAACATGTGCAGATAAAATTTTATTTAGGTAATTTCATTCTCCAGCCCACTATACTCGTATGATAAGAATTTAAGCAAAGTCTACCTGTCAATCCTGGTACAAGTGTGACATTGTACTTTCCATTGTTGATGAGCAGCGGCCAATTGTCATCAATGCTGGTGACCGTCAGGCCAACGTCATCCTTGTCTATGTCCAGAGTCAGATTTGCTCCGAGATATTTTATACCTAAACAGACAACTTATTTTAATAAATCTGGGTAAAGTCAAACAACTTTATATTTTACACACATTTTTGTGAAGGCAAGGATTATATCACATTTTAGAAAAGTAATTGTCGTTTTAGTAATTTCTAATCATTTAACAATTGTTTCTTTCCACTTATGAAACAGCTATCTAAAAATAAAATGCCATCTCTGTTTTTTTTTTCAGAGAATGAAAGAGATGTCCATATGTTTTCAGAAGTCTGTTTCAGCAGTGGAAACCGGCATTAATAAAATGATTATACAGATACGTAATCAAGACACACAAATCTTTTTAAAGTTAAGAAGGCCTCAGTCATAATTCTCATATGGAAAGAATTACCTCTTATCTTCAACCTGGTGGTCTGCGGCGGCAGCTGGGGCCGGTTGATCTCCAGTCTGTCTAAGTACACGCTAACACCGGCGTATCCGAACATCAGTGCCTGCATGAACCCGCCCATACCTGTGTGGAAGTTCACAGCGCCTACATCGGGGCGACGTAGCTCGCTCCAAACCTAGAAATACAAAAATATGCTTGCTTAAAGTGATTCTTTTGGTAGTTCGCTGATCATTCCCCGAGACAAAGTGCATTTGCTCAGAATCGATTCTATAACGAACTTAAAATTGTTTAGAATTGTCAATAGGTCATGTAATGCACGTTGCCGTTCTATATATTTTTTAAGTTCTTTATGCAATCTCTTTGGAGCTATTAGACTATGTCTCGGGGATCTTGTATGTTGGCATTTTAGGGTTCATTTTAACGATTACTTGCCTTAAAAGGTTCCCTTACGTAAGCATTATAGCTCTTATTGAACATTTTTTCGGCGCGATGGCTGTCTCCTATGCGCAGATGTCCCACGGCGTGCATGCTCCATGTCATTGCGGGTCCGCTGCCGCGAGTTACTGACTCGTAGTAAGACAAGTCGTTCACCCTCGTAGATCTAAACAATAGTCAGCAATTGATAAGGCATTCTAGAGAACATTTTGTCGACTTAGCCTTTAAACAGAATAATAATAAAGTAGAAATATAAATTTGGCTCTGAGTCAAGAAGAAATTTCTTAAACATTTATATGAAAAAGGGTGTCGGAAAAAAGGACGAAGTAGACATTTTCGATTTTTTGCAAAAAGCTAAAGATATTTTTAATTAAAAGAGTTATTTTAGTCCACAATATGCGTTAGTTGGCACTGGCTTTAGAACAAACGTACTCATTCATAGGATACTGCAGCGGGAACCCCAGTAGTACAACATCAGCCTGCTTGATGCCATCACCGCGTGTATAGCCGGTATACTGCGGGTGGTAGTCGAGATCGGCGTCGTACGGCAACGCGAGGCTCCACGCGATGTCCGCGTAATGCTCAGGCTCTCGGGACATGTAGTAATCCTTGCACAGACATGCCACATATCTGCAAGTAATATTTAACTATTAGAATGGACGTATAAATTTACTGATATAAGACACGGACCTTCAGATCCTATGAACTTAATATAAAATTAGATTCAATATGTCGCGCGTCTATGCTTTTTATCAAGTAACTTATTCTATTTTCCCAAGCTGCGACTGGCATACAAAATATCAGTTACGCGCAGCTAGATTTCTGCGCTTAGTCGCTTAATAGAAGAACGGTCTAACTCTTATGATATTTGGGTAACATCGTAAACATTACAAACAAATTGCAAATCAGGTGTTTTTGAGTAATTGTATTAACTTACTGTGCTAAATACAGCGAATATCCGGCGACAACATTAGTGAAGGCAGAGTTGGTAACATTGCTGTGATCTTCATCTGGACCCATCACGTCTGAAATAAGAAATAATTATTTCTAAAGAATAAATGAGAAAAAAGATGGATCTTTAAGGCCAGTAAGTGCGAGTATCAAAAGTACTTACTTTCGATATTATAGAAGCCAGACGTGTAATTGATGACAGCACGCGATGCCCAGAAGTCTGCTATGTTCGTCACCAGAGAACAGCCGCCTTGCTACAAAATAATGTAAAAAGTTAACATTAATAATCTTATATATAAAGTTCTCGTGTCACAATGTTAGTTAACATACTCCTCCGAAATAGCTTGACCGACTTTTATGAAATTTTATATACGTATTTAGTAGGTCTGAGAATCGATTACGCGTCGCGGGAAACAGCTAAGTGTTATAAATTTTACAAAATCTTAATGTATACGTATATATTGATTTTAATAAACATTAAGAATAATTTAAGAAGTATTATCGACATATTATTTCGATGTTCAAATTGTTGGGCGGTGTTTCTTCTTGTGAGTAGGATCCGGACGTATAGTAAGCTGATGATGATTAATTCCTGATATTACCTTCAACCAATCTTCATCTCTGGTGGTGGCGAGGTACTGGCGAGCAGCAAAAGAGATGCATCCAGACACATGCTGCTCGAACTCAGCTACCTCCGGACAGCATGGCTGCGTCACTTCTGTGCCTGTGTACGCACTCTCCCACGGGAATCTACAGATAATATTGATTTGATTAATAAATAATTACTACTAGCTGTCGCCGGCGACTTCGTCCGTGCGCTATTAAAAAAACTTAGTAAGTAACCTCTTCGTAACCTTAGTAGTAAGTTCTTCCAGGCTATTGTCTACATCGATGCCAAATTGTATGAAGATCTGAAATACTTTCAAAAAAACATCCATCCACCCCACCAATTGTCACCTAAGGTCTTGGTCTTGTAAATACATAAAGGTCGTAATATCATATTTAAAAAATAAACAGCTTATTATTGTAGTCTATTTCTACCTGTATCCTTTATGTCCCGTGCTCCTAGCGAGGTTTGCTGCGACATACGCCGTCTCTAGTCTATACTGCAGCAGGGCGTGCGCATATTGAGGGTACAGCAGTAAGATGCTGGGATACATCCATGTCTCCGTGTCCCAGAAATTGTGACCTTGAAACACAAGTTTAATGAATAGACTGAGTTTTTGGCAAATTATAGGTACAACATTTTATTCGTTTGTTGATTGTTTTAGACAATACACAATTGAATTTATTTTAATACAAGTAGAAAAAAAAGTATATCCGCTATAAAAAAATAATGAAGTTTATAATTTTTTGTCAAATTAGCGTTGTTTCTGCCGCTCCACAACAGATGGCGTTGTGGCGTACCTTAAACGCAACATTAAGAACCTTGTTTCGCCACTTTATTATTTCCCCGCGTGTTGCAAATTTTTCTGTGGTTTGATTTGGTAGGTTCCCGTTCTTTATTTGACATTTCGTAGAATATAGGAATTTAAGAAACAAATAACGATGTATGTCATTCGTTCGAAGTCATCTTTCGGATTTTAAATGTTGCTTAATGCGTTTTGCTTACCTTCATAATCATCAAATGTGCCTCCTCTGGCGAGTCCTGTGGGACTAAGACCAAAGAAACGGTCCAGTGGCTGATGGGACTCTTCAGCAGGCAGGGAACTCAGAAAATAGTACCATATTCCATTTACTATTTTGGCCTAGAAATATATTAAAATGAGCAAATTAATATTTAATAACATCAAATTGTTTTAGTGGGAAGGAATTGTCAACATTTTTCATAAAATGAACAACAGATGGAGCTACATGTTATAGAGGTAGACCTTACCAGTTGCAAGTTGCCCTCAACATGCACTCCTGCTTGTTGATACAATCGTTGCCATTGTTCCACGTGCTTGTCAAACAACTCCTCGCCATCCGTCTGTAATACTACGGAAACATTTACGAATCATTTTTCTTAACCCAGCTAGAGTTGGCACCTCGAGCATAAGAATATTCTTGCACCCGACGTGCCAATTAAAAAGATATTCACAAAAGTAATGTAATATTTTTACCAGTTATAAGTTCATCTCTTGCGACGGTTTTATTTTTATCTGCGGTCATAGCGAAAGTAAACACTCTAGTCCCATGTTGTGGGACCACTAAATGGTCTGGCACAGAGGTCCAATACGCGCACACGTCAACTGGAAGTGGCTGGTAGGTCGGGTCTTCAGACACCTTCGTCTGACCACACACGCTCCACACAGTACGTCCATCTATAATCTCTGGTATTGGATCTTCAAACGCTATATCCACGCTGGTTGGCCCTGGCATCAGTTTTATCGCTATCCATATCTCAGGGTGAAGGAAATTTGGATCTGAAAATTAATGTACAAAAGTACAAACGAGTTAATTAAATTTATTAAAAAGATGGCGAAATAAATATCTAATCAAAAGTAAAAATTAATAATGTAATTATTTTCTTTAATATTTGCTAACATTTTTTACACATTACATATTTTAAACACTTTTAAAAATATTAAAAAAGTGCCTTATGTAAAAAAATAGCTATAACTCTATAAAATTATTGCATTAAGTTTTAATTAAACATGAGCTTTATTTGTATTTTTATAAAAAAAAACATATTTACCGGGGCGATGTTTAGAGGCGACTTGTATTTGATTAACAATTGCTCTCGTATAAAATCTGTGAGCGTAGATCCTCTGTGTGACAACTGATCTCTCTCTGTCCACAGTAACAGTGAACACTCCATGTTTTGTGTCCAGATTGTACATAGGACTGTAAGGGTTTTGTGTTAGAGTTGAATTTAGCCTGATATTCGCCCAGGAAGGAATTCTAGCGCGATGGCTTTCTCCTTTGAAGCCGTTGTATAGACCATTCATGTAGACTGTATCGCTGAAGATATTAGTCGCCAGGTGCCCATTCCCGATAGATGGCATGAATCGATCGTCTGATGGTAGACTGGAAATATTTATTTTAATTAGTTATTAACAATCTAATATAAATAGTGTTAAAAAGCAGGAAGGTGTCACGTTATTTTCCATCAATTTTAAACTTTAAAACAATTTAAAATTTGAGTGAGGAATTTTGCTATTCAAATTCAGGAGGCGTTTAATTAAATGTTTTTTCGACTACGCTTAATCACGTCGATTTTTTAAGCCATTTCGAAATTAACTTCATAATTAGTACCAGTAGCAACAGAAGAAAGCTAAATAGTGGCATCTGGGATAAACTTTGCGCTTTATTCGACAGCAACATTTGTTATGATACAATTATGTTTCCAGCCTGTAGCTTGATAAGAGACAGTTGATACGCAATGAATCACAAGCAAAAATATGTTGTATTTAATGATTATAATTGCAATAAAAAAACAATGTTGTACTGTTTACAACAAATGCTTTCATTCTATTCGAAATAAACCCGTAGATTCTACATAAGAAAAGTTCCTTCGTCTCTAATTATTAAATGGCTAAGTAACATGCAGTTAACACACCTGTAAGTGGAAAATACTTGGGGATCCTTACTGACGTCATCCGTCTCCGTGGACAGGTTCTCCACAACCGCAAGGCTGGCGCCCTTCGTTGCCAGAAGGACCACCACTAACGCGGCCGCAGCCAGTACTCCCAGCATCACAGCCACCTGCTTGTTTCGCGCCAAAAAGTGCCACATCCATGCGAATCATATAACACTCGCAACCAAAAAGTTCCAATAACACTGGTTAGCACAGAAGGAAAATAAAAAAAAAAAATTCGAATGCAATATTCAGAAAAGCGCGGGCGTCGGATAGGACTGGTCGTGTCCGTGTGTCTCCTGCTACAACCCAGCGTACATTACGCGACCCGAGGTGACATGACACACTTTATTGTTCTATTAGTGATGTCTAGGGTCATCACTACGTTTATATTTTGCACATCTTTGTATTAATAAAGATATCTTTAGATATGTAGTGTTATATAAAGTTCATACATATTAATTTGTTGCAATTTTTATTTGGTTAAGAATTAATTTGGTCTTCTTACAGGTGTAACAAGAAGGTGGCAGCCCTAATGAACACACTTGCAACGACTAATTCAATTGCCACTTCCTTGTTTTATTAACTCTTTGGTCTTTTAATAGTTGATCATAAGACCTCTCTAGCATAAAAGATCAAGTGAAACAATTAATTTTGGCCCAGTAGGTTATTAACCTACAAGTGCAATTCTTGCTTTATTCAACTACAAGTTGTCTGTTTTAAATGGCCTGCATTTAACTTCGAAATACTAGTTATGGATTTATCCACTCATCAGTGGAAAGGATCAAGGAGCAAGCTTAAACATCATAGTAATAAGTTTTTTTTTTCAGACAAAAACCACTATTTGTAGCACAGTTTCAAAGTTCAAAAAGGTAATTAAAATATGAAATTTTAAAAACTGATTTATAAAAAGGTATTTATATCGGTTGATGATCTAGTTTGTCGGTGTGTCCGGTGCGCGGGCGCCGGAGCGAGACGTTCCGGTCTGCCGGCTGCAGCGCTGATGTTTCGACACTACAAACAACGGTTTATAACATTGGATCTAAAAAAAAAAAGTAAGTAAGCATAGAAAAGTTTCCCAAATATATTACTAATACTTCATTATTTTATATATTTTAATTATATTAAAATTAGTGGTTGTATGCTGGCAACTTTAAAAAAAAGTCCGCAACCGCCATCTTGACTTTTAAGCGTCCTTCGTCGTCATTGTTTTATTATTGGCGGCAATGCAACGTTTCATATTTTAATATTATTTTCTTTATTCTCAATGTAAATAACAATGTATAACGTACTTCAAATAAGATGATCCAATATTGTAATAAATTATGCATTCTTCACTACCTACCTACCTACCACTTTAAGAACCCAAAATATAAAGATTGTATTGAACATAGAATAAGTGGATATAAATAAATAGAAAGATAATTAGCTAAACAAATATATACGCATAATCATCACATGGTCAGATTCCGAAGACAATAATAGTTTAGCTAATATCTTCACGAAAATTAAATACTTTAAATTTGAATATTACGAGTAGTTCCTGTCGATATAACTGAGGCTTCACAATCTCTGAGATTTCTTTCCTTCTATTCATGAAATAAATTGATACAGTTTATCTCTCTTTCTCTCAAGGTGCCTCTCCATTTAATGGAGGTTGGCCGTCAGCTCAGTGAACTTTCACACAGTTTAGAAAGAATGCTAAAAAACCTTTTACTGAGGTATTATTAATAACTGCAAATAAATATAATTGTTAGTTTTCTAACAGCATGTTTCGTAATTATCAATTAATCCAACACTCCAAACGAAACATGATATTCAAGAGATGTAGCTTAGATAGCCCGGTCTGATAGTTTGGAATGTTGATTTTATCCTAAATATAATTTCTGCAACTCGTTCGAAATGTGAAATTCACTTCAGATGTTGAAAGATTGCAAAAACTGAGTACTGTAGAGGCGATTGTCACAAGGAAAAGTTCGTGAGGCGCCAAGTTGTCTGCAAAGAGGTGACATTGAGGAAAAAGGCTGGGGTGAGTTCAGAACGAAGAATACTGGCAAGGTGATCCGCAGCGGGAAAAATATAACTCCTTTGTTTCTCAAGAATATAAAAGCCGATCATACAGGTGTACCTGGTGAGATATGAAGTGCGGCGCTTGCTGTGGTCGGCGGAGCGGCTCGCCCTCTCGTTCCACACCGTCGCCCGCACGGTCGACAACCTGCAGCTACAGGTACCGACGGTGAAACGCCATCTCTTGTGATTATCTTATCTAGATAAAAATTAAATAAGACAATGCTACTGATCTGCTAAAGCAACAGATTTCAGTGGAAAAAAATCAACCCTCTCGCTTCTTTACTTGCGCTTCAATCGTTGGATCGAGTGAATATTTTGTGTAGAAAAATGGTACGCATGAAATATTGTGTAAATGTTACATCTTGCATTAATTACCTTAAGTATGTAAATTGTAAATTCTTACTAAGGATATGAAGAATGAACATTAATTAAACTGTATAAAATGGAATCCCACTACCTCGTGTCCATGGATTTGCCGTCGAATAAGATTGTGATGTTTTAAAGCATCTATTGTTGTAAAAAAGAGAGAAAAAAGCACATAGTAGCGTCCAATAAAACACTACAAAAACTACTTAATTCAAAAACGCACGTACGACAAAGAAGTACTAAATAGAACTACGTAGTTTAATAATCATCAGCTAAAATAAATAGATAATTTCTTAATACACCTGTATTCAGTTCATCCATTTTCTACCATAACTACAGGAGTTTCAGTTCACAATAAGCTACCATATTTGCTGTTACCACAACTAGGTGTAGGTGTAACGACTTTTTTATCAGATCTCTTAATTGATGCTGCAATATGTATTTTTACGATATTTGTCATAGCTGCATTAAAAACCACCCACTCATTTCCTTAAATAGATGATGAATAAATGTTTTATTTAAATTTAGCTGGACAAATGCAGTATTTAGATTATTGTATTATGAATGTGGAGGGATACGCCAGTAGAGGTATACCAAAGAAGAGATGGATGGTGTGAAACGTGACATGATTAAAAAAGAAGTGACGACTGAGATGATAGTAGATAGATTGATATGAAGGACGGAAAGCTGGTGCGCCAACCATAATAGGAACAAGTACAGGGAGATGATCAATCCAGCAAGAACATGACTTGGTGATGGTGATAGCTAAATTCACATAACGACGAACAATGACCGGCCAGCGGCCACTGATTGGCCACTTATAACCAACCACTTTTGGGCAATGAGACCAAGTAAAACAGCAAGATAAAGCTAGTTTATAGTAAATTTAGTCATATGTATATGAGTCATTTATTGCCCCACTTAGTAGGTCGCCTTCACACCTCGTATAGAGTTACTCGGCGGTTCTAGACGTCACCAATTAACGCTGAAATGTTGCCTCAGGTGTGACATTGTAGTCTATAAATGATAAAATACTATATTAATAAAATAATCTTGCATTTAACAATATATTGTAAGCAAACAAGACGAGTTTTTAAGTGGATTTAGGAATAAAATTCGTCACTTGTGTATATGTATCGGGGTTAGTGTTAAAAGAGATTAAGATTTAGCGAATCAAAACTTACTTATTTGAAATCGGTTCGGAGCTATAACATTATCTTATATATAAAATTCTCGTGTCACAATTTTCGTTCCCATACTCCGTCGAAACGGCTTGACTGATTCTCATGAAATTTTGTGAGCATATTGAGTAGTAGGTCTGAGAATCGGCCAACATATATTTTTCATCTCCCTAAATGTTTTTTTAATTCTGCGCGGACGGAGTCGCGGGCGACAGCTAGTACAATATAAATATTTGATTATCAATAATATGTAAATTCAAAAGTAGTAGTAAAGCAGTAAATATTGAGTCAAAATCTAGGTTCATTTTGACTCGATATTTACTGCTTGCAAAGATGAAGAAGCATGTAGGTATATAGGAATAACTTTTTTGAAGGTCCCAAAAATGGCCCAACTGGAATCGTTATCGCATCCTCAATGGGTATTCTTAAAATTACGATATTAAAAAGTATTATATTTCTTATACTGAGATGCTTTAGCTATTTAATAAATATAAAGATTTACCGATCAATAATTTTGAAACGTGCATCTTCAACCTGTAATATATGAAGGCGCGTGCCTCGGCCGCTCGTTACAGCGTAATGAGGCAGCTATCTTTATGAGCACGCTCACTTGTTTTGAATCCTCCCAGCTTACGGCGTATTTCCACTGTGATTCTGCGAACACATACGACCGACAACTAACAGCGGAAGTTTGATATGATTGGCTAACAAAATTAAGAGCACGAACAATAGAAAATATGAAATTATGTCCAATTGAAGACTTTATCACTTGAAAACCACAGTAGAGTGTACGTAAAACCCTGGACCATCTCTACATTCTTAACTGCACGCCGCACATGGGCGGGGTGGACGTCGCGCTCTCCCAAGTAATTCAAATTCTCGACCTCACAGTGGACGGTGTGTCAGACAGCGTAGAGCCTGTATGTCCAACTGCCGAGGGCCGCGAAGATGCAGTGGGGGATAAATCCGGAGAAGATTTAGACCGTGATCGTGGAGTCGGTGATCATGTTTGTACATGGCTACACGTAACAGTCTGTCAGACAGAGGTTGATCACCGTTCAGAGGGGCTTTGCACAAAAGATTATAAAGTCATATATGACTTTAATGCTGCTTGAATCTCTGATTCACGCAAGTCAGTGGATTAAAGAAGTGTAGTCATATCACCTGAGGAATGAGACAAAGATATATTAGCCGCCTCATACAAGTAGTTAGCAATTATGCAATGTGTATCATTTGATATTTGCAATTCTCAGGGGTATTAGCCGAGTGTAAGTATTATAGCGAATGTTTCAGTACTATTTCATTGTTGACACTTTTATAAATTGCCTTCCAAATTTTGCTACTGGTTGCAAATAAAACTGACGGCCACTGACAAAGGATAGTACGCCGTGTAAGTCGGGTCTATTTTCTTGTACAATCATGCACAATGGAAACGCATCTTAACATAACCGACAATTTACAACGTATGAAATTATATATTGCGCTATACTGCACATCTTGTAAGGCTCTTATTAAACGGTAAGATTCACGCATCCATTCTGATTAGATTTCATATGACTCGTCAAATATAGCGAGTTACGGCATGTATGATAAACCTATAAATGTTGATTGGAGAACGGTACACGACTAGTCTTGGTGCTTAGAACAGAATAGTGTAATGTATGGGTTTTGTAGGTGGCAGTGAC